ATCCGACTTTGGAGGCGCCTCTTCCAAGGTGGAATCGAGGAAGGGCCCTTTCCGGGTTTTGGGGTCGGCTTTTCCGGTCCTTGGTATTTCTGATGGATGGTAATGGCAGCTGCAAAGGCACGGTGGTTCAGCTCAGTCAGATCGCAGTCTGCAAGGTCGCAGGAGCTGATGATCTGGTTGATCTCCTCGATGTCTTTGGAGATGGCAAGGTTGAGCTTTAGTGGTCGTAGTCGGGGTCGGTCGGACATCTGTAGGTACCGCAGATCTTCCAGATGGTCGAGGAAGGCGATTCTGAGTTCTTCGGATGGCGCTTCTAGCTCTGAAGGAGCCTCGAGAGCCCTCGGTGGAACCTGAAGTGGAGCCTCTTCAGGTGTTGCCTCCTCGTTTGCGGGTACATGACACTCTGGTTTGTCTATATATATATATATATTTGCAAATGGTAAAATTGCAAATTGGAATTGCTAAATCCGAACCGATAGGATTTTAACTTAATCCCGTATGGAGGTAGTAGACATATCAATTCAACAGGTCCGATGAGAGGATGAAAAGTTGAGTTCATTGGTGAATAATGTCGTCCCGTCCTCGATAATACCAGTACATTGGTACGTGCACCATATAAATAGTCGAGATGACTTGCATTGAGGGATCAGAAACAGATTTTGCAATGTAGTCCATGTGACGAAAAACATCAGCCCGCCGACGTTTAGACCATAGGAGCATCAACGCCATGCAATAATCTTGTTTTGTATATTTATATATACCTTATTTTGCATATTTTAACAAGAAGTTTCATTTGCATCAAGCTTTCAGTAAAAACCTAAAAGTACTTGTTCACTCTGGAAGGCTCTTTTTCAGGCTTAAATACCTCGTATATCAACTTCCCAATGTTTAAATAGCTTCAACAGCGTGAGGTTATCGAATGATGGCCAAGGAAAATAGAAGCAGAGATGTTCTCAAGTTCGACGCATATCGAAATGAGCAGAGAGAGTCTCTCTCTGCTAATTTGGGTACTTGGGGTTCTTGCGTACTTTGGGTGGCGTTATGCACGGGAGAAAGATGGGAAAATATCCTTGTTTAGAACACATGTACCGGTCAATTTCATTCTGGGAAAAAAATCATCATTACATTTATTTCAAGCGGGAAGAACCTACGGGGATAATTTATCTTGGTATGAATTTTTCCAGTGTTAAAAGTATTCCGGGACTCCAACACGATCCGTATTTTTGTGTCGGATAGTCATTGCTTCATATTGCGGCATAGGAATTCAAAAGTGGTGATGATCCAGACACGATAGCGACATATAGGAAAGTGGAATTTTTTTTAGGATTGTTTTTTGAATTTTTTAAGGGGCCTTCTTGAAGGTGCTATTGAGATTCCAATTGAAAATTTTCAGAAACAAGATGCGAAGCACGTCCTGGAAGGTTATTAATATGGACGACGCTCGCTTTTGCGTCGCGTCGCGTCGGACGACGAGGATCAACCGGTTTTTCTGCGTCTAGTCGCGCTAGAGAAGCTGCTCGCGTTCTTTGAAAAGAAGCTGCGCGTTTGAGAAATTAAATAAAATCCCAAAAATTGCAATATTAGTAAAAGTAGAAATATTTTCAAGAATGTAATGCGTGGGGTCGAACAAAGTGAAGAACGACACGATTCGGGATTCGAGAAGGCATTGCAAACCGCTTGAGCAGGAACGACGAAAGAGAAGCAGTATGAGATTCCAAGAAGTCCGGTTTCACGCTTTGCAAAACACGTTGTGAATCATACACGTTCCTCCTTTTTTTCTCATCGCATTGGAAATTCTGTTCATTGAATTCCTGAACGTTTCATGAGGTTGTCTGAATGAAAAACGACAGCCATTCAAAGCGGAGTATTGAAATGTTCATTTTCCCCGCACAAAGGGAATGAAATTTCAGCAATGCAGTTTCAGTAATGCAGTTTCAGCAATGAAATTCCAGCAATGCAGTTTCAGCAATGAAATTCCAGCAATGCAGTTTCAGCAATGCAGTTTCAGCAATGCAGTTTCAGCAATGCAGTTTCAGCAATGCAGTTTCAGGAATCCTTTCATTCCATTGACTCTATGAAGCCAGTGCTTCATGGCCATGCCATCATTCAACGCAGCACGAATTCTAATACTACGACGCATAACCGGAGTAGGACACCACGTCCTTGAAACCTTCGACGAGAACCTCACATGAAAAGCCAGCTTCGTAGCGTCAGAGAAAAGGAATGACTCTCTAGAACTCCCAATTGCTGAAACTGCATTGCTGAAACTCCATTGCTGAAACTACATCTACCGCAAGCAAAGAAAATCCACAGTTCCTGACTCCGATTTGGATGACTTCCAACTAATATTCAGACAACTGAGACCCATGAAACTTTCAGGAAACAAATTTTTATAGCGTTACCAATCAGATGCAAAAAAAGTCAGGAACATGGATATTCCACATCGGCTTTTTCTAGCAGGACGCTTTATGAACAATATAATTATAATTATAAATATTAATATATATCTGTCAAAGCAACCAGTTGCGGATTATGTTGCGGAACCAGCTGAAGAATGAATAATCCAATTGAATTAGACGCAAGAATCCAGCCACACTCGAGTTGCTCTAACCTGATCTTTCCCCACGGTTCGTCAGCTGGGACCTGCTCTTCGTCCGTGCCAAATCTAACCGTAATTTGTCCTGACTTGGGCAAGGAATTCCGAGGTGAAACGCACGCTCCTCGCTTGCGGTGAATTGGAAGGAAAATCGTTTTGCTGATCGTAACGTTGGAAGAGAAACAACAAGCATGCAGTTAGTTTTGGATGAGGCGTGAAATGAGACATAAGCCAACAGTGTCCAACTGTGGGATTGTGTGGCCTCTGCAAGGCGAGTCCACATATACTGTATTTCGCTCCGTGCCTTAGCGCCCCCAGTCGTCTGAACAAGACGTATCAGTTTTTTCCTTTTTTATCAGTGTTTTCGCAGATAGGTGTGATAAAGGTGCACAGGGGTCTTCTCTTGGAGCTTCCTATAGCTCATGTATTAATAGGACTTCTATCTGTGTCTTGCGGATGAAAACACAACCGCTCGATCGAAAATGCCGAGATGAGCTCCACTCCCCGCGGGCATAAAGCGTAAGTCCTTGAGAACGAAGCATGAAGTCTTCCATGGTAGGAGGAGCTACAGGGGGAATTTTTCGCGGGAAGGAAGGCAATCTCAGATACCAGTTGCTTCGTTCAGGGAAGTGGACGAGTGGATAGATGAAGACAATATTCGCCTTCGAATCATTCTTGAAGATGACGCATTTCCTGCAAGATGTCGCCTTCAAGCACCAAGATCATCGGGCGTCCGTCAACTCTTCTTTCGCCCAGGTCAGAATTCGACGATGGATCGATAAGTGGCACCATTCAATCCCACGAAAGGCATGTTGCATCGTACTGTAAGTTTTAATTTTATTGCGATTCATTTCGATTGCTTTCAACTTCATAAAATAGAAACTACGGATGTACGTGGACTTATCGAAAGGTCCAGAACCAGCCTTCGTTTCAGCTCATCTTACATGAGAACAATATGTGCAGGGTCATTTGGGACATTTGAGGCCAACACGTTGAAGAAAGTTGTCAAAAATGAGTCACAGGCATGGTTCCTAGCTCTTCACATACGTTGGGAGGGAACTATTTCGAAGGGGGTCATACTGAAACGTAACTTCTGAAATTCGTTTCTTCATATGAAAGCCGGTCCTGGAGCTTCTTGATGAACCCATGTATGAGTCTTTATAGGTCAAAATATAGAATTTCCATAGCTTTCTTTGTGTTTTCAATGGGAATTTGCATGAGCAAATTTATGATTATGACCGCGCAGACTTAAGGAAAAATGATAAATATCAACGCTTCAGCAAAAATAGTTATCAAGATGTGCTGGCCCAAAGTCTCCCCCAGGGAAAATTTCTCAGAATGCCTTCATTTTGATTCTGCATTTCGTGGAAGCGATGTTGTCCAAATTGCTTCATCCCTCGGGTCACTAGGCGATTTCACTGCTCGACTAATATCACCAGGAAGACTGGCACTGCTGAAGTGGTGGTGACCCTCGCCGGACCACGACACACGTGCGACAGTAGTCGGGGGAAATGGTGACCGAGGGGCTAGTACGCATGCCTCACCCACTAAATATACCAAGCATCTAGCCTAAGGAGCATAGATAAGAGCAGAGTAATCGTCAGATTCGTCCAACACCGTATCTAAAGGAACCACGCCGAAGCAAGAAGGATTCGAGAACTGAAAATATCCGGTAGTAGGTACGAGGATGCGAGAATCCAGCTTGGAATGCTGGCTCTAAACTTTTGCGACAGACTCGGCTGTCGAGGAAGAAATATCGAGCGAAGGAGAAGGTGAAAATAGAAGGAGCGTCGGAATGCCGAAAAGTCGTAAACCCAAGCAGTTTCCTAAGTCGAGGAATCAGAATGATTCCTCGAATGAAAGAATGAAGAGTTCCATGAATTTTTAGAGACAATGCACAATATCTCGATCAGACAGGGAACTTCAAGCAAGAAGATATGGCTTCAGCTTCAGGAACGTAGTTGAAAGGTTAAGTTTTTTGCGTGAAGCCTACGAGTGAAAAGGATGTTAAGATGGAGAAACAGTCACATTACGAATGATCACACTTACCCCATGCATTTCATCACACCTGTCCAGGCGTCCAATTTTACGGGGCGGATGAGATCAGTCTTCCAGTGCACAAGCTTAACAGAAATAGAATATCGAAAGGGACTAGTTGGAAAAGGTATGGAATCTTCCTTGGCATTTATGTCATTTATTGTTCCAAATTCATTAAGAATGCTAAAACGTTATAAGAATTGAACGGTTACCAAATACAGTCTGACATGAATACTTTTTATTTGTACCATGTACATTCCGAGCTAAGCACCCCTGCATGGCCACAGCGCATCGAATCTGAATATGAAGTTTGCGTAAGGGTGGCGTCCGACCGAATTTCACTACCTCTTGAAAGAATATTCCTCGGCAGAAAATGGAAGGAGGTGGGAAACCGTAAGCCAAGGTACGTGCTCTGTGAACTTATGCACCGCTTATTCGAAGGGATCAAAACTGATTATTCTTAGTAAGTGAAGCGCAGGTTCGATCCCATGGATCTGGTGGAGTGGGAATTTAGGTAAAGGTAAGGTCAAAATTCAAAGTTATGACAAACATGGAGGCCAAGATCATTGATTTTATAGCCACATATTTCAAATCTTCTTGTAGGGAATTAGATAACCTATCCAACGAAACCGAATTTACGTAGTTATGCTAATTTTGTGATTCTTAGGGTCAAATTTTCCCAAAATTTTGGAATTTTTAAATCGACCGTCATTCTCGGAATGTATACTGCATCGAGCAGAAAGTGATAGCTATTTATTTTCTCAAGATTTACTATAAGCATGTCAAATTTCATTGAAATTGCAGGGGAAAAAGTGCGGACTGACATGGAATCACTGAAAAATAGAAAATAATAAATAGAAAATAAAAAATAGAAAAATAGTGGCTTGAAGAAGTCGTCGAAGCAGTTTTCCTAACTTCATTTGCAACTTGAACTTTCAATTCACTGGAGATTGAATCACCACTCTCGGTCTGCGCAGTTACCGGGGATAAAACATTATATTATCACTGGTGGCATGATTCTGGAGGAACGAGCGATTAGGGTATAAAATAACTTGAATTTGTTTGAAATTCCGTTTTATCTGAATATATTTGTAATTTGCAATGCACCATCAACTTTTACATATTTATTTTCATGAAAGATTTCTCTAGTCTAAAAAAAAAATAATGAAAGCGTCTCATTAAATTAAACTAGCAGACACGGAAAAGTAAGCTGGCGAACCAGCGAACGAACTGCCAAGCTAATGATGCATATTAACCGGGCTTTCACGAAAGTGAGTGTGGGATATGATCTGCTACATGTTCGAAAGGCATGGGAGGAGAAATCCCTAGGCGAAGGAGGGAGGGCGCTGGAGAAGTTCCGCTTCAACCTGGAGAGGAAGGACTGGACTTTGGGATGGGATTACGGCGAGGAGGGAATTACCATCAAGTACTTGTTCGATCAAGAGACGAAGACGCACTTCGTATTGACTGAGGTAATATCTTGCATTCTCTCCTGTAGAAATATCAAACTCGGAACGCAGTACTTTTCAATTGAAAATTAAAGAGTCTTTCATGAATTGGACTGAGCTCTCGCGGTCTTTCGCAATGCCCAATCTCAGGAATGATTGAAGAACCCAGCCATACTGTCTATGGGAATAGAAAGAAGATTCTTGACGTCAAAGCATCAGCAACAAAGTTCATTTGCTGGCAATCGTATTAAAGAAAATTCTGGCATGATAGTGGGAACGATGTAGCCTTTTTCATGTCCCTCGGCAATACCAGAACCATTCTAGCAAAGGAAATTATAAACAAGTCCAAACTAAAAGTCAAGTAAATTCCAATTCATTTTATGAATTTTTCCTTTTCCCAATTGGAATCAGTTGTTCCGTTTGAGAAGTGAAATTTCGGAGTTTTTCATTTGGCTTGCTCTCTCATTTATCCGTGAATTTCGTGTGGTTCTTTAGTGGGAAGATAGTTTACGGGTTTATTGATGCATTATTTCCCACTTGTTACATTCTTTCACCGTATTGTGTTTGCGAAAGATTGCTGCCCCGTTCCATCCAACCTCTCTAAAAAAAAATAAGTCAGAAGATAAAGCGTCAAATTTTCTTGAAAAAGTTTGGGAGATGGTGAAGAAGAGTCAATTCAACCGTCATTCCGAAGCATCAAAGGGCATTTCTGACCGTTCTGAAGACTGAAATTCATGGTTTACCAGTTTATCGTAAAAATAGTCCGACTTTCTTGCAACTGAATGCCAGTTGGTGCCAAAACCAAACTTTGGAACGGCTCGAATTGGAAACGGAAATGTAGAATGGGAATTGCAGTTCTATTTCTCATCTTTCTGCACCAGGCCCAGCTGGATTTCGAGTGCTACTGGACATTTCGACAATATCAAGACCACGCCATGCCGGCCACTACCGATTGGTTCTCGGATATGAAGGAATACACAATCATTCAGGTCCGTCCGATTAGAGAGGGTTTTTGATGATTCAGATAAAATTTCAGCAATTCGCAAGGTTCATGGTGGAATGATAATTCAGACCAATACTTTCTCTCTTGTATGGGAAGACGAAATGAATAATAAATTTAAACAAAGGCGAGTTGCAAGCATTACGAAACGATCTGTGCTGGGGATGAAACGGAATGGCTTTGCATTGAAAATCCATAATGCCATCGGTCAAAATGCAATAGAGGAAGTAATCGGAAAGTAATCGCTGCTTCATGTGACATCTTGGGATGTTACATTTCCGTGAACGTGGTATGAGTTCGAGATCGCCCAGTTTGAAATAGGTGAGGAAGAAGTCCAACTCAGGAGGGAAATTATTAAATATGGAAGGTTTTATGACCAGTGAGTCCCCTGATAAATGCGATAGAATCGGCATATCTGTTTGCAATAATTCATAGAAAGTAATTTCAAAACTGTAATATAAATATGCAAATTGTGGTTCATCTTTAGTTATGGATTCCAAATGAGTCCTGCGAACTTTAATATATTTCGGCCACTTGGCGCGTAGGATCTGAAAATAAACCAACCGAACTGCAAATTCAGTCTCGAGTATCCGTTCAGTTAAGAATAGGAATACGAAAATGTCAAAACAATCTCACTTTTGGCTCACCATTGCCTTACCTTTGTTCACTATGGCTCACTTTTGACTTTTTACTCGACAGCGACTAACGGACGCCTGCTATGTGGTACACCAGGTGACAAAGCCTAAACTTGGAGGCTTCTTCGCTAGTCGGGACATGGTCCTTCTCACCTATTTCGACAAGATCGAGGACACGCATTTCATATTCTTCAGGAACACCGAATGGCCCGGCCTGGAACCGAGGGACGGTGTGGTCAGGTGAGTAGCTGAAAACGCCCGAATTTGCTGACTCATATTATCTATACAAAAATTTGCTCAACCTGAGTTATTAGGCCTAGAATATTTATGAAAAGGAATGGGTAATCTTTCTTCAGCATGAGTCTCTACAGGGTGAGCCATAATATCTCATACAAAGACTTTAGGTTCATGAATATCCATTTTGAAACAGATTTAGAAAATATCATCATTGCAACATAAAATTCAAATTGGAATAACTGAACTTCAAAGCAACCCCTATGGCCTTCACACCGACTGACACTCTTCCTTGCCATTTATGGATTCCTCTTCCATCGGGAGATTGCTCCAAACTTTCACAAGGGAGCGCTTTAGAGATGATTGATGAGAGATTGGATGATTCCTACTGCAGGCCATCTGCTCCAACTTGGAACCCACATAATAGTTCATCGAATTCAGATCGGGTGAGGCGGCAGGCCATTCAGCAGTGTATATGAAGCCCGGCAAAATTTTGCTGGCATCAGTTTTGAGTGGCCTTGTGGGCTAGTGCTGAATCCGGCTGGAATCGCCATTCCCCTTTTTTTTTAAGATCATGTGTCAAGGGGTGCACATGATTTTACCTCCCTCAGCAACCCCTGGCCTGACAACACCACCTGGTGGCTGGCCGCGGACCCACCCAACCCCAAGACCTCCACACCACCTTACAACCCCAAGACCTGGAACCAAGACCTGGACTTCAACAACCTCTGAAGAACTACCATCTGTCCATAACCAATCCTGTATATTCCACTTCCTCCCATCTTGTATCCTTTTCCTGTAAAGGGCATGCTGTATAATAAATGGTCATTGAACAAAAAAAAAGGTGCACATGAGGCTCCAGAATATGGACTAGATAGTTCTCCTTTCGAATTTTGACCCTTTGACCAACAAAAACCAGGGAAGTCTTGCCCATGGCGGACACTAAACCATCACCGACACTGGATGTTGCAACCTCTGCATATTATTGACACCCTCAGGCAACTCCATAACACTGTTTCCATAGACCCTGTTGGTTTGGGTGTTCCACTGTTCCACTTATCTTCCACGTGGGATAGCTTCTCATCGGAAAACACGATTCGATCCAACTTGCTGGGCGTGAACGGCTGTAGCAAGGCCCGACATTTTTCCTTTCTGGCAAGCATGGTCCGTTGGTTGAACGTTTGAGTCTTCCACATCTTCAAAGGGTTCAACCTAAGATTCTCTTTCAGCACTCGCCGCATGGTTACGTGCGAGTTATCCATCATGACCGCCCATTTTCGGCCAGAACGCCGAGGGTTCCGCCTGATAAGTGCCTTCCCATTCTTGACAAGCTTTCCCGTGCGAACAGAACGTGGTCGGCCAGTATGCTTCCCGTCGCTGACACCTCCAGTCTCATGATAACGCCTGAGAGTACGATAAACGAAATCTCGCTTATAACCACTGGACAGGAGGTGACAAAAGATGTTCTCTGGACTTTGGCCATTCTGGAACGGCTCAGTCTCAGTCGCACGCTTCAGCTTCAAGACGTCCATAACGCAAAGCGTAATGTAGTACAATATTGAAGTTTCACCCACGCATATATACCTGTTGGGTTGTTGAGGTAAACTTTCTTGAGCTCTTTTAGCCTATATATGTATGAGATATCATGGCTCACCCTTTAAGTAAAAAATTCTTTTTGTAAAAAAATGAACTTTGAATAAAGTAACGTATGTTATGAAACTTTATCTCAGTAATGTATAGAATTATTCTTGCCATCTTCCAATGACACTCTGAAGGCGAAGGGTGAAATGAATATCTCGTCGAGCCATTGAGTGCCAATTTGGAATTGATATCGTTAGAAAAGGCATACCATGCATTTTTGATTGAGGCATTGGAGTAGAGAATTCCCGAAGTGGCAAGTGTGGATCTTAGCCACTAAACTTGATCAAGTGGAACTACTTGTCAAAGTTTCGGAGAACATATCCTAAAATCACTTTACAGAGGGTTATTTTGTAATTAAAGTGACAACAGAATGGAGCTCATATCTTCATTAGAGGGGCCTTACTGCAGGATAGTTTCACATTTCCATGAGCTATGAGCCAAAATAGATCTCATTCAAACTCATATCTCGATAACTTTGCAAGGGATAAAAAGTCGAATGAAACTAGTTTCTTAAAATCTATTTATTAACGTGTATGCCGATTTTCGTTAAACTCCAAGGATGGTCGAGCTCACGTCCTAGTGGATTTGGGGCGGAATGACCCTATAGGCGAATGGGAAAATCTTATCGTATATGTTGGTTCATGTCACACCTCAAACGCATCACCACGATTGAAGTGCAATAAATGTCATTAAGCAGTATACCAGGAAAACAGGGCATACGAATGTACAATCTAAGTCATAGACGAACTTTCGACCTTGTTTGGCGGAGGCTTTAGGGCGACGGTGCAGGAAGGAAGCGGCATATCGCTGTCACCAAACCCAAAACAGCATACAACGAGGACGCAGCTGCACTGGATCAGCACGTTGGACTTCAAGCTTCCGTTCGTCCCGAACACGATCCTTCGGAACATTTATGCGGATGGATGCCGGAAGTTCATTCTTGCCTTAAGGAAGTACCTGTCGTCTAGGCACCAGCTCCAAGTCTCGCAAGGCTGACGGTCTGCGATCCATGCGATTTTAAGAGTTGCTTCCGTTTATATGCAAGCTGAAGAACTGAAGACGAAGGTAATGGAATCTCTCCGGCCCTTGGGACAAAGCCGATTTGTAGATTTCCTATCAATCCTGTCCATCCTGGTGATTGACTATTCAATGTGTAAAATAAATTTGTTGCATAATTTCGTGCTTATTGAGTTATCCTCTTTTTTAAGACCCTATTTACTCACAACCCAAATAATACAATTCATCCCAATTTGTCTGGTCTCGTCTCTGAACATTTCAATCACTGAAGAACCCCTCACATCTACATTAACGGTGCACTAGTATTGTTGGTATTTTAGAAAATTCTTGGCTATGGTTCAGAACAATTTTATGTAAAATTGCAAAAAAATTTGAAAAATATTATTCGTTACTTGAAAGCGATACATGCATCTCTTTCCGTTCGGTCGCTGTCATACTCAAACGCTGAAAGTCTTGCATGGGAGTGAGAAACGTCCTGTTTGAAGACTTCGTGCTCTTTCGGAATCATTCCACCTGTCAAAGGAATCCGTTCCAGATTCATTTCTAGATTTGGCCTTTCCCGGAACGGGCAGGAGATCTGCAAAGTCTCCGCAACGATAAGCCTCGTTCATGGGACGATGGTAGAGGGGAAAAAGAGACGTGGCGTGGTATTGCCTTCTTATGCGCAAGTTTCAAAACTTGTTTCGTGATTCAATAATATATCATCCGAATTTCCGGAATCCTGTTGAGATACCCGATCCATAATTCATTACAAATGGATTATCCTCAGCGAAATAAATAATAATTTATATGAACTATATGGGGTATCATTTTCTCGCTTCATTGACAGGCGCGTCGAACCATGACATTTGATCGAGGTTTTCAAAGAATTCTTGAATAATGAAAATGTTATTACAGAACACCACTGGAAAGTAATGAGGGAAAGTGCCTTTTTCATATGATTCTCGGTAAGTCGATTATCGCCTGGATCTGTAGGTCACGACCTTTGGCTGCCTCGCAAAAGGATACGTGGGGGGGGGAGGGGCGGGGGGGGGGAGTCCCCCCTTCCGTTCCAGCAAGTGAGGCTCCACCTCTACAGACATGTGAACGCATGTCTAAGTTTTGGAACGGGGAACAACGCGTGGATTGTAAGGAATGATGGAGTTTGAGATTGCCTGATTGCCGGTCAGGTGTGCTGCCACTACACCACCGAACTCGAGACATCCAGTCAAGCCTCTCGATGCCATCCTAATACGTCACAATATATATCTTTAAAAACTTCTCACACCAAAACTTCCCATCCCAAAAGGTACATGTGTACAAGTTTCAGATTTCTAACCTTTCTGGAACATGGTTAGAATTAGCGTTAGTCAATGAGTCACGATCGTCTATATATTAGATACATGTACCGCTGCGGATACTACTTCCGCATGTTTATTTCATATTTGTATGTGAAATATATGGTTAGCGAATGAGGAATCTTTCTTTCTACGAGATATAGCCAACGTTTGCCTTCCCCTCATGTCTCTCTCCGGCAGTGGCCTGCTCGGGTCGATTTTTTTGAACTTGACTACATCGTGCCGATTCGAATCATTCCTCACACCCTCTCCAAAAAATCGATTACGAACTGAAATTTGTGGGCCTGGTCCACGGGTTGTCAGGATGATCTGTCCGGCCCACTGCCAGCTAATGCCTCTCATGTGCAGATCGGCATTTCAGGTCAATGACCTGGAGCTGATCCGTTGCAGATTTGCATACAGGGACCATGTTCAGCGAGTTCCGCCAAACATCATCCCGCGAAATTTTCGAGAAAGCATCAATCAAGGTTCTCACAGGTCAGAGGGAAGAAGACCCATTGTCATGCGTGAAGGAAACTCCATGCTCACTCGTGATGTCTCTCGTTTCCCTTACGAAAATGTCTTATAGGATTCCTAAATATTCCTAAAGGAATATACAGGAATCCTATAGGAATCCTATAGGAACCTAAAGGAATCCTATAGGACATTTCCATAAGGGTTCTGACTGTCCTCTACCCCTCTCCTCCCTCCCGTTTGCTCGCGAAGGAATGCCTCCTTCATCCGCTTTCAACGCTGAAACCTTGAAATATTATCAGATAAATCGATGGAGGTGGTTTTCTGGAGTGCATGTACACTTTTACGTTTGCGATCTATGCTCTGGTTTCCTCGGAAAGTTCATTCAGGTCGAGCGTTTCCAGTACGATATCCACCTCCCGCCTTTGTTTAAATTTATTATTCATTTCGTCTTCCCATACAAGAGAGAAAGTATTGGTCTGAATTATCATTCCACCATGAACCTTGCGAATTGCTGAAATTTTATCTGAATCATCAAAAACCCTCTCTAATCGGACGGACCTGAATGATTGTGTATTCCTTCATATCCGAGAACCAATCGGTAGTGGCCGGCATGGCGTGGTCTTGATATTGTCGAAATGTCCAGTAGCACTCGAAATCCAGCTGGGCCTGGTGCAGAAAGATGAGAAATAGAACTGCAATTCCCATTTTACATTTCCGTTTCCAATTCGAGCCGTTCCAAAGTTTGGTTTTGGCACCAACTGGCATTCAGTTGCAAGAAAGTCGGACTATTTTTACGATAAACTGGTAAACCATGAATTTCAGTCTTCAGAACGGTCAGAAATGCCCTTTGATGCTTCGGAATGACGGTTGAATTGACTCTTCTTCACCATCTCCCAAACTTTTTCAAGAAAATTTGACGCTTTATCTTCTGACTTATTTTTTTTTAGAGAGGTTGGATGGAACGGGGCAGCAATCTTTCGCAAACACAATACGGTGAAAGAATGTAACAAGTGGGAAATAATGCATCAATAAACCCGTAAACTATCTTCCCACTAAAGAACCACACGAAATTCACGGATAAATGAGAGAGCAAGCCAAATGAAAAACTCCGAAATTTCACTTCTCAAACGGAACAACTGATTCCAATTGGGAAAAGGAAAAATTCATAAAATGAATTGGAATTTACTTGACTTTTAGTTTGGACTTGTTTATAATTTCCTTTGCTAGAATGGTTCTGGTATTGCCGAGGGACATGAAAAAGGCTACATCGTTCCCACTATCATGCCAGAATTTTCTTTAATACGATTGCCAGCAAATGAACTTTGTTGCTGATGCTTTGACGTCAAGAATCTTCTTTCTATTCCCATAGACAGTATGGCTGGGTTCTTCAATCATTCCTGAGATTGGGCATTGCGAAAGACCGCGAGAGCTCAGTCCAATTCATGAAAGACTCTTTAATTTTCAATTGAAAAGTACTGCGTTCCGAGTTTGATATTTCTACAGGAGAGAATGCAAGATATTACCTCAGTCAATACGAAGTGCGTCTTCGTCTCTTGATCGAACAAGTACTTGATGGTAATTCCCTCCTCGCCGTAATCCCATCCCAAAGTCCAGTCCTTCCTCTCCAGGTTGAAGCGGAACTTCTCCAGCGCCCTCCCTCCTTCGCCTAGGGATTTCTCCTCCCATGCCTTTCGAACATGTAGCAGATCATATCCCACACTCACTTTCGTGAAAGCCCGGTTAATATGCATCATTAGCTTGGCAGTTCGTTCGCTGGTTCGCCAGCTTACTTTTCCGTGTCTGCTAGTTTAATTTAATGAGACGCTTTCATTATTTTTTTTTNACCTACAGGGTTCCCTATAGGACTTATACGGAACCCTATTGGCTTATAGGGTTCCGTTTGACGTTCTCCTCTAGGCCACTAGATGGAAGTATTGAGTTCTCACATTTCTCAAAGGGCACAAATGTGCCCTCCCCTTACCAAAGGAATCATCTCTCACAAGAGAGTTTTGTACGTCCCGAAATGTCTCGCCTTGCCTCATTGTAGCAATCAATAAACTTCAACAGTTCCTTCTGTGTCATCGCCATCTTCCAGATAGAAGCATTGAGTCCCGTGAAGAATTATGCCCTTATTCCTTTTGAAAACCACGTACGAAAGTGAGTGCACCCCATCCAAATGGAGTTTCAGTAAAGAGACGGGCTCGCAGGTTCTGTCTTATATTTCCTTAGGTCGAGAAAGGAATACTACTTCTCTCTACCGAAGGAAGTATACGTGCAATCCAGCGATATAAGTGGGGCTGGGTCATAAATTATGCAGAACCCACAGTACTGGTATTAATAATGCATGTCCCTCCTACCAAGGAAAAACCCCTAATCGGTTTTTCATTTACACCGAAATGCTGTGCCAATATTAACCCCAGTCGCCTTTTCCGTCGTAATGCCTAGATTTCGAAACCTAAAATATCCTCCCCGAGTCCTATAGGTCAGGAGACCTATAAGACCCTATAGGGATCCTATAGGATTCTAAAGGATCCTATAGGTTTTTCGTGTTTCAAAAACCTATAGGAAAGTCTATAGGTTTCCTATAAGAAATAGCTAAAAGTTTCCTATAGGACATTTCCGTAAGGGACATCATCTACATATATTAAAGAGAATAATATCTTACAAAAACAACAATCACTGGCCTTTCTAAAAATATCCATAATAATTTGAAATGCCTGGAAATAGAGGTGGGAACCGGAAAATTTTCTATATTTGCACAAAAAAAGGAAAAATGGCAAAATAAAGCAATAGAAATAGAGTAAGGCAGCATACCCATAAGGAAACGAAGTAATAATATACAATCAGGCGGGAACTACAAGTTGAGGGAGTCCATATGGTTTTTAAAAAAATCATGCGTTATCACATTCACTCATTCCAAGAGGGCATTATTTTTATGCTTACGAAGTTTCAGAACTTGTTCTGGACGTGTCAGATAAATTATTCGGTGATTTGGCACCAGAGACACCGGATCGGGCTCGCCGATGAAATCCGATGAAGTCAGATGGAGGCGGGAGGTGGATATCGTACTGGAAACGCTCGACTTGAATGAACTTTTCAAGAAAACCAGAGCATAGATCGCAAACGTAAAAGTGTACATGCACTCCAGAAAACCAACCCCATCGATCTATCTGATAATATTTCAAGGTTTCAGCGTTGAAGGCGGATCAAGGAGACATTCCTTCGCGAGCGAACGGAAGGGAGGAGAGGGGTGGAGGACAGGTAAAAAACGAGAGACATCACGAGTGAGCATGGAGTTTCTTACACGCATGTCAATAAGTCTTCTACCCTCTGACCTGTGAGAACCTTGATTGATGCTTTCTCGAAAAATTCGCGGGATGATGTTTGGCTGAACTCGCTGAACATAGTCCCTGTATGCAAATCTGCAATGGATCAGCTCCATGTCCCTTACGAAAATGTCTCATAGGATTCCTATATATTCCTTTAGGAATATATAGGAATCCAATAGGATCCTATATGCCCCATAGATTTCAGTTTGGGACCTATAGAGTTCCCTATAGAACCAAT